TAGATATCATACTTTTATCATATGATGCTCATGTTCTATACTGCAGTAAATTAAAAGATATGGCATGTTAATGCACATCCTTGAATTGTCAATTATGGTGACCTTTAAGACTCATTTTAAAAGGCTTTATAGTGTGCCATGAGTATGGTTTATTATAATACAACTTTAGAGTGATGTAATGCAGAGTTAGCTAGACAAGAGACTCTATGTGAAGAATATTCAATCTGAAAATAACAGAAAGAAGAAGAAATATAATACCTATAAAAGTGTCTTGGTTTTTTCGAATGAAGGGATATATAGAAAGACTTGGTGGTAGCATAGAAACGTTAAAGATCAGTGGGAGAATCGAAAATTGTGATATTTGAAATAATGAGATGAAGAAGATATTTTCTTCACAGTGTAAGACAAGAGAATCCAAGTGCCGAAGAGATGGACGCTTCGTAACATGTGAAACCAATGACCAATATATTCTCCATCAGTTGCGTGTACTTCCAAGATCACAAAAGCTTGCCAAACAAGTAAAAACGATGAATCAAGAAAACCTAGGTACCACACTATATGGTTTTGAGGTGTGGAATGTATCCCACATTATATGGAAAGGTCATATAGGGAAAGAGGATTCAATAACTTTGTTTAATATGCTTTGGTTATATTTTCGCTAATTTTTTTATGAATATGTATGGAGTGTATGAACATTAAGTGATAAGTGCTAACAAATTTGAAAGTGTCGGTTTTGAATACCTTGTGTTTTTGTGCCTCCTTGTGATTGAGTATAAACTACTTAAGGTAGTGATACACATGGAGATGTGATTTGATCAATGGCTTTGAACCCTAAGGATGAAACATGAGAGATGGGTGTGGCTCATTCAAATATGTAAGCACAAAGGGAGTGTTCTGATGGAACTTGGTCTTAGTGACCATCCTCTCAATAATGTCTATAATATGATGTATTGCATGTGATGATGATCTCTTGATAAATTATCCATAATTTCCAAAAATGAAGTATTTTGTCAAGGTTTTAATAGACATTATTTAGTCGTGCTTTATTTTGGATAAAATTATAAGATGGTATATATGATTTGTTTTTATGGCTATGAATTTGAC